AGCAGCCACCGGCTGGCAGGCTCTTCGCTCGGTGCTGAGGCTTCAGGGTCAGACTCGGCCACCTGCACTGTCATTTTCACGGTTGGCGTGGGGCCCACAAGGTTAAGAGCTCTTCACTTCCCGTTATCCCTCTTGAAAACGTGGTTGCCAGAGGCTGGACAGGTAGCTCCTGGACACACGTCTCACAAGGGGGTGACAGGAACGAATGACGGGGCAGGATTTTCAAAGTGGTTTTCTTGAATGGAGAGCTTCCTGTGGGGTTTGGCTTGGGTGACCACGGGAGGTTTGAGATGTGAAGCCCCACGCCCTGAGGGGGTGGCGTGGGGGAGGGGGGGCGTTGGGAGGGGCTGGTCTAGTGTCTCCAGAGGGCCGAGGCCCCGGTGCAGTGAGCAGTACCTTGGTAAGGAAAGGACCACGGATGGACCACCCAGCCCGAGAGCCTCACCAGGACCAGTGCTGGCGCCTTCCGGTCGACAGCTGAGAGCGATGCCCTCTGTGCCCGCGTCCCCTGCCCGGCCGCCACCCTGGGGCCGGGGCCACTTCCTGCCCTCCCAGCTGGAACGCACTGACAGCACACCCCTGAGAGCCCGCAGCGCAGCTTAAACCGGCACCGCTTCTGTAGTCACATTCGCTTTCCCTCAGCTATTCACACTGCAGGGTCGCACGGGATAGCTTTTCGAATCAGAGTAAGATAGACGCCAGTAACGTCTGTCTGTACCGCCGCCTCGGCTCCGGTGCTGGCGTTTGTGCCGTGTGTGTTGCACTGAGAGCACCTCCCTGTGCCGCCCCATCCCACGATGGCACTTTCTGAACTCCAGGGAAGCTCACGTTGGCTGTGCTCCCCTGCCCCTCACACACCAGCCGGCAGGAGGCTGTTTTCAAATTCCCACCTGATTGACCTCTTCAGGAAAGAGTGGCTAGGACGCGTGCAGGCAGAGTGGTCTCTTCCTGACCTTCCTGTGGCCTTGGGTTCTGCTGGGGCCTGGGTGGTCTGGCTTGTAACTGCCTTCACAGTCACTTTCCTCCCTTTTGTCATAGTGAAGTGGCCCTTGCGGAGGTTCGGCGCTGAGGCGCTTCGGGAGAATGGAAACGAGGGGACGTTCCAGGGAAGGACTGCTGCTGACGTTCTTGGAGTCTTCCCAGCCTGCTTGGGCCCAGTTCTCAGCATTGCACCTTTGCTGGTTGTCGGGGGAGCTCGATGCCAGTGGCATGGGTGCCCACCGCGGCCCTCGCGCCGGAGCACAGACATCCAGGCAGAGCCCAGGGGGTGTGTGTGTGTGTGTGTGTGTGTGTGTGTGTGTGTGTGTGTGTGTGTGT